AAAAGGACTTGTTCATATCTAATTCTAACAACTATGATACATGTTGCTTTTATACAAATCCAAGATATAATTTCTAGACTATATGAATTCATTTTTGCAATATCACTTAAATTCTATTGGTCCAATATTCGTTCGCTCATTCGCTTGTTCGCTCGTTCGCTTGTTCGCTCGCTTGTTCGCTTGTTCGCTTGCTTGTTCGCTTGTTCGCTCGCTTGTTCGCTTGCTTGTTCGTTCGCTTCACGTGATATGATCTTTATCCAATAAAATATGAGATATTTATAATCCAATAATATTAAATATTATAACGAAAGGTCATTATACAACAATATTATTTACATAATAAAAAATATAACACCAAAAAATAAATAATAAAACCAATAAAAAAGAAAAATAAATAAAATCCATAAGATTTGTCTAATCTATTTTCTATTACTCAAAATATAATATTATTTTGACTAATGAAGACAATATTTAATTAGACTTTTTAGCTCTATTTCATGCACCCACAGACCAACCATCTATTTTTGAGGTAACAATAATCCCAATTGTAGTTCGAGAGTATTATGATAATACCCCTATAAGATGTCTAATTTTTACATTGAACTACAATTGGGATTTCTATAATTTCTGCTACTATATCAACATTACCATCTCCTCGTCTACATCTTAAATTAGAAAAAAATATATTAATAAATATTTGTGTCATCGTTATCAAGATAAAAATAAGAACGTTCATATTTTTAAAATTCATTTTTATTAAAAATATGGCCACAATGTGCTTTCAATTATTTTATTCATATATTCTATTCACCACAAGAACCCAGTTTTTCGCCTTATGTACACTTAAGATTTCTATATTGAGACCCTTTTCAGAGAAGAACGTTCATGGTATTGGGTGTAACCATGGCACACGTCGTACTTTCAATTCTCCTAGTGGCAGCGTAACTTCAGATATATAATAACTCAACAAATATTATACTTACGGTACACGGTGACAACTTATTCCTAGGTCACTAAATTTTTCATGAATTTTTAGCTCAAAGTCCTGTCCACGTTGATAAGTAGAATAATAGCCGTCAGATTTAATGATTTAATTATTATTTATTACCTTTTATATCATTATGTCTCATTTTTCTCATGTAATTGTTAATTTTACACATGGTTTTTAATAATAGCGATAGGGGTTATAATACAGAAGATCAAGAAACCCCTACCATTGAATCATATGATTTAAATGATTGGTTATTTATAAATTATAGTTTAATTTATAACGATAATATCTAACGCTAACATCAATAAATATATTTATCGATATAGTAAAAAGATTTTGCTCCTGAAAACGGTAGGGATGTCTCTCAGGTAAGGTTTTTGACTGAAGATTCATTCGTTCAAATTACAATTATCATCCACATAAAAAAATAGTCATACCTCTGGTGCAGGATGGATGTTCTAATTAGCTGCTATATAGTAACTAGCACAACACGAGCCGTGCTCGAATCTTGTTGGAACACTGAATTAGTGTAAAACTAACGAATAAACGAAATAGAGGTGTTTCGAAATACCGTTATTTAAAAAGCTCAAATTGAATTGTCGTGCAAATTGTATTGTCAAATCGTATTGTCCTTGAGGATGATATTGTCATACAAAAATTCCTCGAGTATTTTTGTATTCATACTCAATTAGCATTTAAATTCCGTCGCTATTGTCATATAATAACTGCATTATGTATTATCATCTTTGCCATGTTTGTCCTATAAGTCATTCAGAAAACGCCGCGTGGTTCTAAATAAATACGATGAAGAAATGCGTACATAACCCAACTAAATGGGATGTGACCGTCCGTCCTTGTAAATGTCTTTAACAACGTACAAATATGAAGAAATCCTTTTAGGTGAGTAATATATTAACATAATCTATTATTCATTTTTGATAGATATAACTGTGCATATTATCGAACGAATTTGGCCGACAATCCAAAAACGTGCTTTTCGAGCTTTCATTCGGCAAATTCTTCAAAAGTCTAAATTTACTTTTTTCACACTCGAATACGCACTTCAGTATATTCGTCGCATTGAAGAAAGAGTTCAATCTACTTGCAACGAAAACGATCCAATAATGTATGTTTCTAGCAGCTTTAATAATTGCAAGAAAATATCATGAAGATTTGGTCTTTTCTAATAGAGATTGGTCGAAAATTACTGGGTTAACTTTAGAAAAAATCAATCAAAACGAGATTGTTTTTCTAAAATTGTTGGATTTTAATTGTTTTATTTGTAAGGAAAGTTTCAAGAAATTTCATTTGATCTTGATTCAATCTCTCATTTGATTAAAATACATCATAATCGTGACCTATTAAAAAAAAGCCGAAAACTCACAGAATTGGTTACAGTCTTCGAACATTATAATAAAATGCTATCGGTGGTAAATATTTTACAATACAATTTTTTTTTCTTAATACAATTAGCTTTATAGATTAAATTTATTATAAATCGATATTTTTCTGTGCAAACCAAACCAAACCAAACCATAATAGCGATAGTTATTTAGTTATTCAATTATGCGTAACTTTTTAATTTTTAAAAAAAAATAAATGAAACCACTTACAGCAGCAATACAAGGTACAGTGTGTAATTGCAAGTTAGAATGCAAAAATTATAGGTTCTCTTGTAAAAGGTCAGGTGTAGGTTGTGGCTCAAGATGTCATCCTAATAACGTTATTCCATGATAACTAATAAGGCTGTCACTGCACTTTAAAGCAGTCAGAATCTAATATTGAAAAAGTTAATTAGATTGAAAAACAAAAAAGCAATATTAAAAGGTGTTCATTTTACCTCGTTTATAAACTCGGATGTAATTTTGCTTTGAATTGTGTAATGATTTCAACACAACTTCCCTTTTTCCATCTCGTTTAAATTTATTCTCTACATGATCCCAACTCTCCCCATTCTCTCTTATTGGTCCGTCCAACAGGTTGCCTCTTTTTACAAGTTATTCAACATTGATAAATCTTTCAAAAGGGTTCCATTCAAATCTTTCATCTCTAATGTTATTGCATTCATTTATTAGACTGTCGATATCTTAATTTCCACTAGACCATTCAACATAAATTCGTTTGTGATATAGAAAACATCCATGATATTCCATATTTTTTGACAATCGGTACATTTACTACAATCATGAGTATTGTGAACTGAACACTCATCGCAGTATTCGTAGTTTTGACAGTCGTAACAGTTATTACTACAATTATGAATATTGTGAACTGAACACGCTTTGCAGTAGTTGAAGTCTCAACAACAGCATTTACTACAATTATGAGTTTTAGATGATGCCATCTTTGAGTTTATTAGTGATTATGGCAGTGTTTTATTTAAAAAACGATGATTTATTTATCGTTATATGTGTGAAAGTCGTCGTTTCCGTTTGTAAACCGATTTATGAGAATAAAAATATGAATTACGTAAATAAGATTCATCATGAATACGTAATTAATTTATACATGTACTGTCGCCATCAATTAAATAAGTACGTAATACATGTACATGTATTACTTTATATATAAAATAGAAATAAAGTTAATTTACTTCTCGAATATCAGCAACTTCATCAGTTCGATAGGCGTCGCCAATATAATAAATTTTACCATCTTTAAATGTTGAAGAATAAGCGTTTCTTTGATCTGGAACTGTTGTCCAATTTTTAGAAAGGTCCAAGGAAAATGCAGTAGTAACATATGGCAAGTCGTAACTATCAAAGATGATAATCTTCTTGTTAATTAATATTCCTGGCTCTGCACCAGACATTTTACTTGATATTGAAATAACGAACATCAAGTATAAACATTGATAACATTTTTAATTGTTTTCTATGTTATGAATTATAAAAAAAGATTACCTGTAAAAATCATTGATAGATTAACAAACTAGTACATGTACGTATATATCTATCAGTTGCTGCATGGATTTTGATTGTTGGTTCCAATGTAATCGTTAGTGGAATTTTTTGAAGAATTAACCCACTTTCAGTTACATTTTACTATAATTGTATTTCATTATATTATATTACTATTGAAAAATGCAATCAACAATTTTATGAACTTATTGTATACATTTGATCTTATTTTCTCGCCAGCAATATGTTATAGATTATTTATGAAAATTCTTTGATGATAACGACACGACATTGTAAGTAAATAAAAAAGTAGTATTCATAGACCATGTGGAGGACATTTTTGATAAAATTTATTATACTTAAAAAATAATTATACCTAATATAATTTAAACAATAAACTCTTTAATGTCTTCTGAGTTTATCAGCCCAGGTATATTTCTTTTCGTATCCAGAAAGGCTGCATTATACGGCTTTTCTTCCGTATGAGTCCTAATGTGGCGATTTAGATGTTCTGGATGCAAAAATTTTTATTGTACGTTATACGTCTATATGGTCGCCTTTCGTGTTCAAAAGCAAAGAGTGCCATTTGAATTGTGTGAGAAGTGATAACGTTTCAACTAAAAATAAATATCAAATTGTTAGAAATTTTAGCGATATTTAAAATTTTTATGATAAAAATTATTTATCTCTTATTACGTATGGTTTAGTTGCTATCAGTTATAATCAACTTATATCGTGATATAAGTGAATAAAAAATACTATACTTGAAAAATTAAGAAAAACGAAATCTCTTATACTACATGTACATGTACTTTGTGATTAGTTGAATTATTGCTAAGTAATTGTAAATTAAGCTATGCATAGGATTATATCGAAAGACATATTTTTCTTACCAAATTGTGCTTCAATCGCTATTCTAGTATAATAAAGAAATATATATTATTGCAATACTCACATTATACGCTGGAAAATTCTCGTGATAAATTATGCGTAGCTAAGATTTGCAATTTAACATTGAGTCGGGGCTTTTATTCTCTTTTCAGAGAATCAAAATATTAATTGAAATTCAATATTTTGCGGGTTCTCCATTATTTTGGATGCATTCTGAGCATGCTTTCAATTAATTTGATGTATTTTCAGGTAGGATATTTCTCTTTAATGCAGCAAACAAGTTTTAGCTTTTGAGGAAATTTTTTCGTGCATCTTTAAAGTTCATCCTGCAAATATTCAATGGGGTTGAGATCAGGGAACTATCAAGAAAAACTTTCACTTTATTATGTGAAATTTGCAGTATTGACATGTGGACATAACTAGTACCCTAGCCATGGCAAAACAAAGTGATTGTCACGTGATCTGAAAATAAGTCCATTAAAATATCCGATTAATATTGGATATCAAGTATTAGGGTTAGGGTTAAAGCTGTGATCAAGGTTATATATAAATTGTCTTCCCGACATTTTTTGAGTGTGCTAAGCTAGATTTAGAACATGACGTGACAGTCATTTTGTTTTACCATGGCTAGGGTACTACGACATAACTATATCAATCATTTTTTACCTGGATACCTCGTACGAATACGTAATGCATACCGATACATATTCAAATGGAAATTATCAAAAATACAAAGATACTGAATTTATCTTTAATTTGTCATTTGCCGTATTCTTTCGGAATAAGCACCAAAAATGAGGTGGAAAATCCAAGGTGGGATTCCTAGATGCGAAGCATCATTTTCCGAATAAGAAACCTCGTTATGAAAATAAATAATTTTTTAACTGTAACGATAAAATGGCTCTAACTTTGATTCATACCAATTCTTTGACTTTGGTGGATATGTATTATCTGATGAAATTTGAATCCTTGTCGTTTAATATCGATATTAAAACATCCAATAACAAAAAAATTTGATATACTTTCTGTTTCAGAGATTAATTGTTGGAGAAAAATTGTTATATCTGTTTATTTTGTCTCGTTCGCAAAAATTTACGCTTTCATTATTCTTACATAACAGCAAATGTACTCCCAAAATAAATAAAAAAATAAAAAAACTCTTAAAATAAATAAAAAACTATAAATTTAAGAAGTTGGTATACTTTGAGGGAATGCAAACAAATTGTTTTTATCATATTTTGCTTTGGTAGTCACTAATTTCTGATAATTAGCACCATAATATGCGTTCTGCCAATTATTCAAATCACGATCAATATAATTCTGATAACTATAAGGAGAAGTGTATTGACTTTGGAAGCTGGCGCCAAAAGAGTTTATATTATTGACACAGTTTGTTGTTTGGCTTGCATCCTGCCAATCCGTCACCAATTGAATTCCGTATAATGGATCACGATGAACAAATGCCATTGCATCTGAGGCAACTCTGTTGATAGCTCCTCCGTAAATATCCAAAATCGCGTAGGTAGGGCATGAAGGTGATGCTAGATAGTTATTGAATGCGTCAATGCCGGCAGCAGAGAGACCAGGTGAATTGACATAGAAAGATTTTGCTTTGAAGGTGTATGGAAGAACCGTTGGATTCTGGACGAATGATACTGATTGACCAGAGAAGAATACAACCGAGTCGAAGAAGGTATGTTGTTGTACTTTTACTGTGTTGTATCCGGATACTGCTAAAATGCTACTTAAAGCATCCGAGAGACCGGATTCTTGACCGAAATAGACACCTTGAATTAATAATCCACTATTATCCCATACTAAACTGAATGTTACATTATCAGTTCCTTGAGTTGCATATTGTTCAATAACTGGGATTAAAGTTTTTGCTACGCTTACTGGCCATTTATACTGGAATGAAGTGACTTGTGTTTGAACAGGTGTAATTGTAAATTGGAATGATGTCACAACTCCATAACTTCCGCCACCAGCACCACGTAAAGCAAAGAACAAATCAGGGTTTTGGGTTGAAGACGCGGTAATTAAATCTCCATTAGCATTTACAATGTCAATTGAGAGAATGTTATCTACGGCTAAACCGAATTTACGAGAGTATAATCCATAACCACCACCCAACGCAAATCCACCGATACCAACACCTGGACACGAGCCACCAGGAATCAAGTAACCGGCTTGACTAAGTGCATAGTAAATTGGACCAAGTTTATTTCCGGCACCAATTATTGCTGTTTTTGCTGCACCGTCAATCGTTATTTGATTCAGACCACCCAAATCGATTACGAGAGCTCCATCTTTTCCACCAAGTGAGTAACCCTCATACGAGTGACCTTTTATTGATGAATGAAAAAAACGAGATGAATAATTAATCAATCAATTAATTAAATAATTTAATTGACATATACCTCCGGATCTTGGTGCAACATTTAAATTCGAAGTGGCTGCGCATTTAACTGCTTTTTGCACGTCTGCAATGTTCGATGCATACACAAGAGCAGCTGGCGCTATGTATTATTTAACATACAAAAAAGTATATCGATATGATTAATTGACAGTTAATAGTTTATTTTCAAATATTTTTCTTGATATATACGTACAATACGTAACACGATTATTTTCATCAACTATATCGGCTGTATATTCAGCATCTCCTGGGAAAACGGCTTTTCCAGTGGTACCCGTCAAACATGTTTTGAGATCAGTATTAGTAGGTGTTGGACTTGCTGAAGTAGTAGTAGTTGTGGTGGTGGATCCTTGACAGGCATTGTCTGCACTAGCAGATGGATTGCATCCAGTTCCGCAGTACGCGTCACTAGCACCGCACCATCCAAACTAAAAAAAATAAGATTATCGGTCAAAATGCATCCAGCATACATATTGATCTAATGCAAAAAATTACCTGAGAACAACATGGATAGCTATCACTACAAGTTACACCAGAATTAGAACAAATCTGAGTTCCTCTTTTTTCTAACGGACCTCTACGATGGGCTAAACGCGCTTCCAAATACGAGGCATTAACGTTATTATGCGACATTAGTAGTTCTCCGTATATTACCAAGAAAACGAGCAATAATTTACTCGTAAAGATTCGAGTATTCATCGTTTTTTTTCTATTATCGTTATAATCAACCAAGTTGTTACTTTGCTTTTCTTTATTAGATTCTTAAGAACCTTGAATTGATCTGTAACAATAAAGATGGAAAACGATGTTCAATCATATTTATATCGATTATTAACGTTAAACTGTTTTCAAGTGGCTTTTATCAAGAGCATGTACAAGGCTAAGCTACGTATTACCAAATTTGGATGCTCCAGGTAATGAAATACATGTGTATTGTTTGTGGGTTAAAAATTATCCTTATTGTTTCTAAAGGCAATAATGTCATCATGTCCAATTACTCCTTTATCTAAAAATACGTAGTCTGAATTTCCCTATGCAGGAAATAGGAGGAATACATGTACATGTACCAAATTTCTTCAGAGAGCTTCTTAAGATTGACAGTGCATAACGCTAACGCTAATTGTATGTAGAGAGAATTACAGTCAACTTCTGTTTACGTATAACGGACTGGCGGTTTTAGCAATAAAAGTTCGTTATATCAAATTTATTATAGCGAACAGTTCATTATACCCGTGTTCGTTATATCCAGTTAACTGTATATGTAATGCATTTAATTGCTATAATGCATTTAATTGCTATAATTGTAATACATGTAGTATCAAAATACAAGAGATAGTTCAAAGTTATATTATCGAGTTATCTATCGTTATGTTTCTTTTTAACGTTAATATAATTTTTTCTCTTATTACATTAAAAAAGCTAAAGCTCAGTCCAACATGTCCGGCGATGTATATCGATATCAGAAACCTACATTTCTCTTTCTAGACTTGTATCGGTATCCCAAGCAGACATTGAAAACAACTCTTAAATCAAGAATAGAAAGTACCCACATGAATATAAGTCATCATCACTATGTATGTATCGATCTAATAAATGAAATGCAGGAACTTGTAAATATTTTTGGGAATCGGTTAAGCGTAGTCCATCCGATAATCTGTCCGAAAAACAAACCAATGAGGATGCGTAAATTTTTAATCAACCCGGCAAAACAAATTTGAAGCAAAGACAAAATACTGAAAACAGGTACTTAAATCTTTCTTGGAGCACTAATTAAAATGTCGGGAAGGCAATTTTAAATATAACCTTGATCTCCTTCCAACCCCAACCCTAACCCTAACGTTGAAATTACCTTTCAATATTTTTAAGATATATCACGTGATGGACTACGCTTTAACCGTTCTCTAAATTTGGTTATGAATAACACGTCATTTTTTTCTAATGCTGGCAATTCCAATTCTTCTAAATACTTGTCAAACTCATGCTTTTGAGCTAGAATTTCGTTTTCGCATTAAAGATCCAAAATTTGACAAGTTTCAAATGAATTTTCATTGCTTACTCAGTACGAAATTAATCAATTTCCTCTCGTTGAGTTGTATCCTCAATAAAGTCCAAATTTTTAAATCGAATATCAAAAAAGTCATAAGGAATCGACCCAATGAAACATGTGTTATACGATTACGATTTTGGGATGAAATAATTACGTACATGTATTAGCCACGGCAAAAAACAGTGTCGGATCATGTGATCTAGAATAGGCCCATTAAAATATTCGATTAATATTAGATATCAAGGTTAGAGCTGAGATTAATTTAAGGTTATATAAAATTTGTCTTCCCGACATTTTTTGATAGTGCGCCAAGCTAGATTTTGATATCTGTTTTTTGTATTTTCCGCATTTTTTGTCTTTTCTCATTTTCTTGTGCCGGATTTGTTTTGTCGGGTTGATCAAAAATTGCTACATTCCTATTGGTTGCGCAGAATTTTTGTGCATTCTTATTGGTTCATCATCACATGACCAGACACATTTTTTCCCATGGCTACGGTGTCTTCGAAGATACCTATCATGTGACTTCGTTCATGGGAATCACGTTGAGTGTGCGAAATTCTACGTTATTATTTACGAACAAATATATGAGTCTAACCGTAATGATTCAACCAATCACATAATTTTATATAAGTATTCTGAATCCGGGGTTTAACGAGCAATATTCTTACCCGGGTGATCCAGGCACATTTTTTTGAACAGGTCCAATCATTAAGACCACAATTCTCATTATTGCAGTGAGTGCAAAAAATGAGTATCGTGATGGATGTTTTCTATCATAAAGTTAATTTGTCTAGCGAAAGTGAAAAATCGACAGTCTAATAAAAGAATGATTCATTTTTTTAATATCTTGCAAAAAGGAGGCTTTGGGACAATTTATAAAGCATTCTTGAATAACACCATTATTTGGTATCGTAGGTGTACACCATTATAGATGTCTAATACGACATCTCTATTATAACTTTGTTCATCATCATAAGTTACAATCTTATACATGACCATCCCCAAAATATATATATCCATTTAATACCTCTGGACTGATATAAGTAAATTTTTATATCTGCTGGACTGGTAAGCCCAAAATCGACAATGAAAACATAATATATTTGCAGGATGAAAGTCACAATACACAAATTTCTCTGCGAATTTATACTCAGCCAATTGAGAATATCAATTAAATATCTTAATTTTTCTTCTAAAGTCAATTATTCGTGTTAGAATTAATATAAAGTATTTGTGAAGAAAAGCTGCAACGCATTTTAGAGCAGCTTGAATCTATTTTGGAGAACTTAATCGTATTAGAAAACAAAAAAGCAACTAGATTTACAATTTAGAAAATTTAGAAATTACCTCATTTATAAACTGATATTATTTGCTTTGAATCTCAACTAATACCCTAGGCACGGAAAAAAAGTGATTCCGATCCCGATGCCGGTCATCCGATATGCCCTCTAAAATTATGCACCAACCAAATCGCAGATCAATGTGCAACGCAGAAATCAAAATTAAACATATTTTTGAAAAATACGTATCTTTTGTGCTTTAATAAAAAATGTTTGCGAAATTTTACTATATACTATACAATAATCTTAAATAACCCTAACCTTAATCGAAACTATATTTAATATTATGCATTATAATAAGGGGATCGGAATCATATGACAGTCACTTTTTTCGCCGTGGCTAGGGTATTAAATATCAACACAGTTTCGTATTCTTTACGTCGTTTAAATTTATTTTTTATGAATTCAATTTTTCTTTTAATATGCCGTCCAACCAGGTTGCTTATTAAATTGTTTCAAAACCTCCTTTTGCAAGACATTCAACATAGAGAAAGGGAATTATTTGAAATATTTTCTAATGTTCGCGTGAACTTTCGATACCTTTATTTATGCTAGACCATTCAGCTTTGTGATATTTAAAACATTCATAGCAGTATTTATTTTGCTTGACAACGAGTACAATCATGAGTACGTAAAATAAACATTCGAACATTTATCGTTATTGTTAGACTAACTAATAATATCGTATTTGTATGGTGCAAGAACTCTTAAATCGACAATATGTTTCATGTTAAAAATTCTATCAACTTCTTAACTAAGAAATAAATCCAAAATTTAACCAGTAATATTATAGATAAGGACTTTCTTGATAATATTACCAGTCAAATTCTGGATTTACTTCTTAGCTAAGAATTTTTAACATGAAAAATATTGTCGATTTAAGAGTTTCTGCACCATAGCTGGCTTCTAATTACAAGTGTAAATAAATTATGAAATAATTTTAACACAACTTTGTATATCCCATCACGTCATTTAAATTTAATTTTTCTGTGATCCAACCCACAACAATGTTTTTATAAATTGTTCCAAACTCTCTTTTTTGCCTTTTTAAAAAAGGATGCATTCAGAAGATCCAACTTTTGCGCATTCTTTTATTAGCATTAGACATTGATATCTTTATTTTCGATAGACTATTGTTACCATAGTAACATAAATTTCTTTAATTCAATAATCTTTCTTTGATTATACGAAATTCTCTTTTTCTTAATTTTTACCATTTATCACCTGATTATTATTATTTTTATCCAATCATATAATTATCTCACTTTTATTTT